TTCAGATTTTTTTTTTTTTTTTTTTTTTTAATGGTCCGGACATTTCCGGACCTGTCCAGACATCCGGACCGTCCGGATCCCCCCGTATTCGGAGGCCCGGAAATGTCCGGAATTTCGGACGGCCGGAAACTACCAGACACGGGTTCGGTTTCATGTCTGGAAATGTCCGGGTCTGGGTCCAGTGTAGCCATGGTATATATGCTCACGTATATTCATAAGAGACATCATCGGTGACCGTTGGCCCCAAGTTGTGGCGCAATGCATTTTAAGTAAGAAAAACACCGTACTTTCTTGACTTTGATTAACAGCAAAATAACAATACTTTCCCAAATAATAATAGTAACATAATAATAATAATAATAATGATAATAAATTTAAAAAATAATAATAAAAAATGATTATGTTTGAATTTCAGTGTTGCTATTTGTGTTTTTGATGACCGAATGGAAGGCACCCAGATAGAACACATTTCCAGATGAAATGGGTTGTGCAGAGCCTCTAGCTCTAGCTACCCAGCATCACCGGAATAGAACGCACGGTCATTACAGCTGTAGTTGGGGGGAAACACCGAGTCTTAGATGCAGGTGACAACGAGCATGTGTTCTATTCGGACGAAGAGGGAAGAGCGGAGCCTGGTCAGATTTGCGGGATTGAATCTGTGGTACCGTGGCCTAGTCCCATTATTGAAGAGGATTGGATTTAATCCCTGAATCTGGATGTGTTTTGTGCAAAGATGCGGAAAAGCAAATCAATCGCAAGTTTCTGCATCCTTCCACAAACATGTCCAGATTCCTGAATTAAATCTAATCCTCTTTGCTCATGGGACAATGGAAGGATGCCCGGTCATGCATGCTGACTGACTTTACCGAGTGGAAATTTCGACCGTGCGAGGTCAGCCATGCCGTGAGTGGGTCACGGCATCGCTGACCTCCCACGGAGACTGGTAGTTTGGGGGAATGAATCCGAACTACCGGTCTCCGTCGCCTCTCCCTCGAATAGAACGTACGCATGTACGGTCATGCATGCTGACCGTACCGATCGGCAATTCCGGTGCCCTGCGTTGTATTAGGAGGAGGGGCGTTGTTGTATGCCGTGTCCCCTTCACTTTTTTTGGCACCGCCGTCTTCCCCCGAACTCAACGCGCTCTCTTTTTGGCAGTACCTGACCGGAAGCATAGCTTGTATACATTCATCATCAGGGTGCGTTATGTTGGGGGGAAGACGGCAGCAGCGTAGAGTTTCCTCAACCCCTGGACGTGCTCTCCACAGATACGGTCAGATTCGGGGCGTTGAGGGAACTCACTTTTCGGGGGGGGGTTGAGGAGGGGGCAGGGAGGAGGGTGGTTGCCACTGGTTGGCATATTTTGGTGCAGCCCCA